GTTCATAGGCTTTACCTAATTTCATATTAAGTTTACTTTGTTAATAATTCTACTGTATCTAAGAGACAAAAATACATTCAGAAGAAAGTGCCACTTAAAAGCGCTACATACGGTGCAATCTTCTTTCACTTACTTGACAACTTTCCAATATCAAATGACAGCTTTGTGAGAGTATCAAACATACTTCCGTTATTTCTATCACGAACAAGAATGTATCCTTGTCCTGTAACGAATGGCAGTTTTAAATAGTGTGCCAAGCGTCCAGCTGACATGATCGACCCTGAGCAAGCAGGCCCTATAAACGCTTTCACTTCGTCTAAATAGAACAACTCTGTCATGTGACCAACTACCTGAGAATTTGAACACAATTCCGTATAGTTGTGATATGTAATGTCAAAGTTAATTCCATATTGCGATTTAGCATCTTGAAATCCCATATCCAATGCTGGTCTCGTTCGTTGAAGATCGTTAGACTGGTTTAAATCGGACATGAGCAAAACCCCAATTTTTAGTGTCGTTTGATTCAAGCAAGTTACCAGATGGCTTGTCATTGATAAATAAATTGATATCACCAATATGTTATTGCTCATGGTTGCACACTAAATAGTAACAGCATAGCATTAACGTTTAAAATTAATATTGTTCATGGTCCACACTAAAATGTAACATCACAACATAATTTATACGAGTAAAATATGGTATTATTTGTTTTATGAAATAAAATTGATATCATGATATTCATCCGCAACAACTGATATCAACAACATGTTATTGCTCATGGTTGCACACTAAAATATAACAGCATAGCATAAACGTATAAAATAAAATTTTATAACATGATATTCATTCCCAGCAGACAATTTATTACAAATAATAAAAACTAGCAGTCTTATGATTTTATTTTTCTTTACTTTTTTTTAGAATTTAAAGTTAACATGCATATGTCAACCTATTCGTTGCTTAAGCCAGTGTTGTACCTTAAATTTTAAAACTAAAAGTATACATCTTTTTTATGATAGAGACAATATCATTAAAGTAGAATATAAAATCTTATCCATATAAGTTCTAAAATACATGTATTGTTCAAAACATCTAGTGGAAATCTTCTTTTATAATAATATTGTTGTTTTTATTTTCATGACAGTGTTAAGAACTTTAACGAAGCAGTTATAAGGTCTATAACAGAATTTATTACCATCATTAAACATGTGTATAAATGAGATAAAATAAAATTTACATTCCTTTTTTCCCCTTAATACTGAACGTTTTGTTCTGCCTCAGAGCTATGAAAAATATTGTTATAGTTTATATTTCCGCAGCAAATAAACCGTTCCTTTTGATGTTCACACAACAATTCAGCTCATTTTCACATTATTTACAAAGCAATTCATTATTCTTTAACGCAAAAGATCAAAAAACTTAAACGTAAAAGTCAATCCATTAATAAATTCGATACGATATATGTTTTATTTGTATCAACCAGAAATTCAAATGAAACTTTTAGACTTTTTAGAATAAAGGTACATAAGAATAATAAATGTGCTATTGGCATATACTATATATGTTGACAATTGGTTCTTGTGTGTTTGTTTGGTTGGTTTTACGGCGCACCAACAAAGTTTAGGTCATAGTTCGCCGAAATGGAAGATGATGATGGCGAACCTCGAGTGTTAAAAACTTCAAAACAACACCATGAGTCAAAAGCCTTCTCACCTGCTGGAGGTAGAAGATGCATAGACGCCAGTTATTCGAACCCATTTCGTCCCTCTTATAACCACGCAGGGATAAACGATGGCTGCAATTCTTATGCCTTAACCACCCAATGCAATCCCTCAGCCAGAAGGGGTACTCTAATTGAGATAATTGCTTGATTTGTTTACTCCAAAATTGTAAAATAGTGGTCGGTAGCCCAGTTGTGCCGTCTTATATATACATATACGATATATATTTGCCTTGCAAACATTTAACCTCTCAGCCATTATATATAATTAACAGAAACTGTCTATAGTACTCTAGTTTAGTGCGTCATTAGAATTTCACTTATTTTAAATAAAATTTTATCTTTTATTTTTACCTGATGTTTTAAAAGTTGCAACAGCCTGGACAATATCAATTCAATTTCACCAGTCGACTTAGAGTATATTCAAACCACGCTAAATTTTAGCACTTTAAAGAACCAAGGGCTAACATAAAGCATACAAATAATTGTCTGCAATTAAATTCGTTTCATTCTTGTAGGGTATATTTAATGAATAATGTTTTATAGAATTTATTAATTTGTAAAATTATGTTGTTTCCATATCCTTATGGTAAATTCTAGAAAAGTTTTAACATAGAATGTCTCTACTATTTAAAACACACGAAAAATGTATGTTAATAGAATAAAATGTTCATAAACAAAATATTATGCTGTAACTTTATAAAGGTTTTAAACTGTTTAGCTATATACGATATTGTGCTTGTACCATTCACATAAAAAAGGGAAAAATGCCAACATATTTCTTTCATACAAGTATTTCAAACAAAAATTCCATAAATTACATGTAGCAAAGATATAGTTTTGTGGACTTTAAGACAATCATTTTATGTGTCCTACAAAGATGATTTTTACCGAAGAAAGCTGCATGCTATGATATTTGCTAATGTAGACAGAAAAAGGACAGATTTTATTATACAGTATGACTTGAACAAAACAGTTCCTCGTAATTACACATATATACAGCGAGCGTACGAATTAACATTAATGAGCCGTGTCACGACAAAACCAACATAGTGGGTTTGCGACCAGCATAGATCCAGACCAGCCTGAGCATCCGCGCAATCTGATCAGGATCCATGCTGTTCGCTTACAGACCCTATAACAAGTAAAGAAACTGATAGCGAACAGCATGGATCCTGATCAGACTGCGCGGATGTCAATCATATACAGTATTCATATTTTTCTTTCTGATACTATATGGTTTAGTACAAAACATTGCTAACTTATTCAAAGTATTTGTATTACATTTACTTAATAGATCAATAAATTTAAACATTCTAGGATGCATACAGTAATATATAACGTTGTAAATACAAACTTCTTTAGTCAGAGTAAACAGAACAAATAAACTCAAATGGTATTCATCTTCTATATCGTTCAGGTTACAAAAGGTACATTTCCTTCACGATCTGACAATATGTCTATGTCTGCCAGTGTTTATATTTAATTAAATGGTGCGAAGACAATCCTAGTTTAGCTATTGTATTTCTCAGTATCGAGTAATGTATTTTATTTAAGTAATTTGATATTATGTTCTTTTAACAAAGTGAGTGAGCTTTTACTTGTAACATCTTAACTTCGGTTTCTGAAATATATATTTAAGTCATGTTCTATATATTGGAACGAAAATATTGACATTTACAGATTATGGAATTAACCAAACATTAAATTCTGTTGTTATTATTACTATTATTATTATTATTATTATTATTATTATTATTATTATTATTATTATTTTGTTGTTGTTTTTTAAGCAATTGCAAAATTAAAGGAGCCCAGATTTATCAGATTTAATCTCTATCGGCATAATATCTAGGTGATGAAATTATATTTCTCGGCAAACAACTATTACTCTTGTGTAATTTTTAAAAAAATACAATTCTTATGTTACCTTATATTGAAAAGCGAAAAATAAACGAGCGGTATCAACATATATTATTATGTAGTATCTAGTTCGCGGCGGCTTTTACATTTAATGGTTTGGAATCATTGTTTTAACAACGTTACAAGTAAACCACGTGACAACTCTAACAGGTTTTGTAGTAGACAACCTTCAGACTTTTATGATGTCGAAATATAACCCAGATTTTTCTATTTGCATTAAAGGCAGACACGGAAATATAACAAAGCACCTGCAATTTAACCGGATAACTCTTTCACAAATCCCCAAACTTGTTACGTAAGAATATACGTATATCATATATAAGTGTATGTTATTTTTTAAGATTACATCAGCCTTTTATTAAATTTAAACGATTTAATTCTTTAAAGGCTTCTTTTAAATTTTCATGAATTATTAAGTGCAAAATTTTTACTTAACTTCTTATATAAAGATAAAAACAATAATTTTGGTGATAAACGGAAACTATTGAATTTTGCGTCCATTTCTTAAAGAAGCTAAAATATTCTTACTTATTCAGATGTATTCTTGAACGTTTCCTGATCTTTCTCTTTTCTGTGGAAATGTGTCTTTTTGGCGTAACATACGCGTTTTTGAACAAAAAGCATGAGCAAAGATAATGTTACTTACATTGTAATTGTTTAAATCACATTTTTAAAGGCTCTTTATGCCTCAGAAACAATTTCTTTTCCTGTTTTAGAAAAGGCAAAAGTTTGAATGATAGTTTCAGACCATGTTAATTACTTACCACCTAGAGAAAGTAGCTTTGAATATAAAATTATTTATAAATTGAAGCAAAGTGTAAACAAAGTAGTATTTTGTCTTCCATACAAAATACTACTACTGCGTTAATTGCCAATAGACAACAGAAGCAAAAGATGGTCCAGGTAATTATCCGATGAGTAACAGGGCACCAAAACTAATAAGCTTTTCAGATATAAAAAAAACATTTTTGAGGTAAAATGGGCCTTTAAACATCAATAGGGTTGATATAAATTAACGCGTAAAGAGAGAAAACGACACTTCCATGTCTAAATAACGTTTTTAAGACACTAAGATCTGAAACTGTCTGATAAAATATCATATACCTTTGTACCTCTAACTGGTTTTTCATTTTCACTTTTTAGATAAAAATATCACTATCTCAAATTACTTAAAACGTAGCACAATAAATTGTAGAATTGTCAACACTGAGGTTTTAACTATAACAAGAATAGCCCGCCAATGCAAAAGTTTAAGTTCTGAAGAAAGAATGATTAGCTTCGTAATCATGAAACAATATCCAACAAAAAAAAAAGAAAACGATGAAATTATAAAAGGTCAGTAAAATAAGGTACTCACTTGAAAGTTTCCGTAAATTGTACGACAGTATAGTAAGACTTTCGTACATATCATTGTCCATCGGGTCTCTTACAACAAGATCTCCTAATCCAGTAACCATTGGCAACTTAAGATATTGTGCCAAGCGTCCGGCAGCAATGATCGTACCGGAACAAGCCGGTCCTATGACCGCTTTCACGTTGTCTTCGTAATAAAGTTCCGAAAGATGTCCGATTACTGTCTCTTTCGGGCAAAATCCTGTATAATTATGATACAACACTTCAAACGTAATACCATAGTTAGATTTGGCATCTTCGAAACCAATTTCCAACGCAGGTCCTGTTCGTCTTAAATCGAAAGGTTCAGTGGCTTCTGTCATTAATAATACGCCAATTTTAATCGTCGTCTGCTGTGAATGTGCCACAAGCAATTCAAGTAGGAAAAAGAATTTGATGATTTCTTTTGTTACCATTGTCATTACTTATCTGCCTTTTTCAAATCAAAGACAATAAAGACGCGTTTCCTGGTTGTCTAGTGTAATGTCAGCAATCTGCAAGGGAGGCTGTAATTTCAGAAAAGTATTTGTTTTAGCAAATGTAGTGAAAGCAACATGTAAATTGATATAAAATCGATGACGTCTTTTTAGATCATGACATAAGCTTCAAATCGGTTTCAAATTTCAGAATTTTAACGACCGACTCGATATAACTTAACGACCATAAAGGCAGAAGAAAAATATGACATTAAATCATTCATTAAAGGACTATCCTAGATTATATAGCATTTACACCTTCATGACAGTAATTATTACAACATAAACGTCTGGATTCAATAAATAATGAACCAGGGACATTTTTTTATTTGGCTGAGAAGGAGACAAACACCAACTCTAGTCAATATTCAGACAAAATGAATGTATGTTGTTTAATGCTTGTACTTTTCTGCATTATTATTGACAAATTTAAAATTCACTCATGATTTATTTCTGTATAGGAAAATGTTCTTATTTTCGGTTCAGTGAATAAAAAATATAAAAAACCAAAAAGCTCAACAACAAAAACAAAAGAACATTGATCTTTCTGTTGGTTGAGTTACACCTAAATCTGCCAAGATGTTACAAAAAAAAACTGTCATGTTTTTGTTTATCTTGCCAAGATTTTACAAAGGATATGTCCTGTTTTTTTTACTTGCCAAGATGTAACAAAGAATTTGTCCTGGTTTTGTTCAACTTGCCCAGATTTTATAAAGGATTTTACCTGTTTTTGTTGCAAAGATTAAAAGGAGTTGTCCATTGTTTATATTGTCAAGATTTCACAAAAACATTGTCAAAAGGTAAAATCCTTTGCAAAATATTGGCAAGTTAAACCAAAACAAATCAAATCTTTTGTAGAATCACGACAAGTTATGTTACGGAAACAGAAAGATGCATTAGTTTACAACCTGGTCGTTTTAAGATACTATAAAGTTACCTTTTTTAATTTACTGAAATAAATCCACAAATGTTGTAAGAATGAATGTTTTAAAAGACAGTCTTCAAGAAATCCTTTAGGTTCTTATGAAACATATCCGACATTTTCCCTTTGAAAAGAAAAGCTCGGAAGTGTAAAAGGAAATCTTCGAAGTACACGACTGCTCATTATTCCGTGCCCACCTTAATTTACCGATATTCTTTTTGTCTGTGTGTTTGATATCCTGCATTTGTTATTCATTACGATTATTCAGCTTTGTGAAAATAATGTTTAAAGTATAATGACGAATTGTTAGAGAATAAAAGAAACTAATGACCTTTCAGTAATTGATAATTGATAAATTGATTGATAAAATAGAAAAAAATAAAAATTGAAACATTAACAACGTTCTTGCGAATAATTTAATATTTATAAATAATCCCAAAGGTATTTTGCGAGTTAATAAATATATAAAAATAGAAAGCCATTATTGGTTTTTTTGTCCAGTTTTTTGTTACACTAATCAGGAAATGGTCAACAGCAGATCCCAGCGCACTTCTTGACCTATGTCTCCAATGTTGTTAATGTGTTGTTTTTTTTGTTTTTGTTTTTTGGTGTTTTTCTTTTCTTTTTTTTTTCTTTTTTTTTTTGCCAAAAAGAGTTAAAGTCGCCCGGGGGTCTGGTCGTTGTATGGAGGGAGTTAATATATACACAGACCTTTCTTACCATTTTCAACACAGTGCATATAAATACCATTGAAAACAATCTAAACTGCAGAGGAACCGTTTTTTATATCAACTATATCTATGTACAGAAACAATAGTTTCTACTGGTTTTATGCGCGCAAATCTCGTGCAATTCCAATATTCCCAGTCTTCGTATTTAATTGCTCATTTCTCTAAATAGTACTAGCTTTTCTGATAATTCCCGATTTCATTAACTGGATAATTATTTTGATTATATGTATAAGCCGATTATTTATCACATTTGATAGTTTGCTTTAAAGCAGCATGCCTTTCCAAATTCATGCTATTTTTTTATTATTATTTTTTATGAAATTTTCAAAAATGTATTATTTTGTCAAGTGAACAAAGAAAGTAATTTACATTTACACATTGCAAATGGCGATTTCAGTCAACGTAAATTACCAAATAAAGGTCAAAATAGGCAAAATAGCCCTTACTGTGTTAGTCACACGGTTGAAATATGGTGAAAAAAATATTGCAAAATGAGTCAATCCATTGCATATAACATGCAAATCATTACTTTCATTTTTGTTTTTTCTTGAAATCTTAGTACATTATTCTCAAAGTATTTCTTTTCTTTTTTTCTTTTTGCTCATTTGCAGACATGCAGCTTTAAATATAATGTGTGTATATATTAGAGATTGTCATGTGTAGATTAACGTATAACAAATTAGGTCGACTTCATTATTTTTTTAATCGAACGATCTCTAAAGAACATTAACAGATAATGCCTCTCATTTTGTACTTGTTATTTGTACTCGTTATTTAATTGATTACAAATTCGTTGTGGCTTCTGAGTCCTTTAGACACACAAGGATATTTTGCATTTTTGCATTAGAAAATTCTCTAGAACTATTAATGTATGCGATACACCGTAGCTGATATTGCATTACCGTGATTGTTCGTTCTAGTTTTACTTGAATGAAATGCAAATCTAATTTTTCAAACAATCACTCTACGAATATGCCCACAGTTAATTTAAAAGCATTCTATTACGTTGAAACAATTGCACAATTCTAATCTCTTTATATCAATAATCAGTTGAAGCTAATAGAATGATTGTCGGACACAGATAGACGAGTATTAAGAATTCATAAATCAGGTAGTCCAAAAGCAAGTATGAACAATGTTGCATTTGTTCTTTGGTATAATTCATTTCACGCGCCTGGAGTAATTATTTCAAATTGAAACATTAGTTATTTAGTAATTTCTGTTATGTTTTAAGCTCCACGAGGACAGATTTTGCTCTAAAATCTCTTATAATCCTAAATTATACGAGACTACACTTTGTATTTATTGTATATAATCATGCCATTAAAAACCTTTCCGACCAAGAAGAGAAACCCCTGGTTAAAGTTAAAACGAGTATGGATGAATCTGGACAAAAGCAGTAAGTGTGTTGCACCCCGTGCAGTTTTGCCTCATAATCTATCCATCTAGCTACCGAACGTCGGTGGTTTTGCGCAGGTGCCCGTTCGTTAGTGAAATAATGCACGGAGGGGCACTTAAGGCCTTCCTCCACCAATAAAGCCAAATGACCTATACTGTACTGGTGCGACGTAAAACCCAACAAAAATGTTTGAAATTGGTAATAAATTTAACTTCTTAAAGGAAGAAATGCTGTAATTTAATTCTTCAAGTAAGCTATATTTTATATAATGTGAGGTTTGTTCTTTAAAGAAAAAAAGAAGACTGATAAAATAATAAATAAGAAAGATTTTTAAATAGTCATTACTTCAGATCGTAATTAATTGATTCAGCAAGCTGATGTTTGGTATAATTTAATGATAATGATAAATTATGTATTGATATTTCTGTGTTGTCCTATATAACATTATGAAAATGTTAGAAAGTTTCCAAACATTTTTTAGTCTGTATTCAACTACTTATAAAAACAACAGACCAACAGAATTATTTCATTTAAATAAAGAGAGAGTGCGGTATCAAAATAATTAATCGTAAATGCTGTTTTTATAATAGTAATGTATATCTCACTATGTAGCCATAATGATTAATGTAAATTAATGAAAAAAAAGAAATATTAAAGAAAATTACCATAGATCGCAATTCGTTAATATTCATAAGAAAGTAATTCCAAAGCCTTTTCTAAAATCCAGTGACATATATTTTATCAATCTTTTACAAAAAAACACGCAAGGCCCAAACCCATCGCAGATTTAAATAAATGAAAACCCCACCAACTTTTCGACTAATTATGATCCCCCCCAAGTTTTGGGTATACTTTTTATCAAAAAATTTTTACACTAGTTTAGGGTTTTTAAATGGGCCCAGTTTCATTTTAGGTATTGGATATACATCACACATACGGTTTTAATAAGGATATTGTAACATAATAAGGTAACAAGATTCTCAGGCTTTTAGAATCAGGGTAAGCGACCTACCTAACAACTTTGCTTTTATATGTGAACGTATAGAGAAAATGTGTGACACTGTCATTGTTTAGCTAGCAAATGCTGTTGTGTAGTTATGCTAATATAGCTTTTTTTACTGTCACTGCTCTTTGTTCAAATGAACCTTATTAGTAAACATTTATTCCAAGAATAATTAAATATTTAAATAAAAAATATCATGTATTGTTTTTCTTTGCTTGATTAAACATTTTTTTTTCGTTTAAAAAAAGGGGAACGGTGGGTTTATGAATCTATATGCATAAATGAAGAGAATTAAGGGAGAAAAAACGGGTATGAAAACAAAATAAAAAGTGGAGCGAAAATTGATAATCGATAATCCATTAAGTTAATTTGATTCTCTTTAATAACAATGAATTTTTTTTCTGACCAGAACATTATGTTTCGTTCGTAAATGAAAATATCATTTTTGTACCAATTTCCGCCAGCTAGCATACAGCTTACGTCTAATGTCATTCTTGATTTGCGTGCCAGTTCATTTATAATGGATATACAAAAAAGTTTTACATAATGAGCCGAACATCATTGCATCAAGGAGATTGAAAACACGAAAACAATGTTACTTATGATTTAATGTGAATTGATCAATTTTGGAAGGTCGGTTATACAATAAATAATGACGTTGATAATATTAAATAATTATGTGTGGGTGATGTTGTTGGCAAGTATTGTGAGATACATGTACATCAGCCGATATTACATATATTTATATAACAAGTAATATAATGATCAAGAATAAAATATTATAATACATCATACAAATGTTTATACTAACTTTTATTAATATTTTTTTCTTTCAAACAATATTTTCTAAAGATATCCAAATGATGCATTTCTATTAATTTTATAGAAGAT